CTGCAACTACTGAAATCCATGTGCCTAGAGCCCATGCTCCTCTGCAATAAGAGAAGCTGCTAAAATGAGAAGCCCATGCACCGCAGCTGGAGAGTAGCCGCCACTCTTCGCAACTAGAGAAAAGTCCATGTAACAACAAAGACCTAGCACAACCCCCCAAAAAAGATAAAGAGATGATTCTTAGCCAGAAAACAGACATTTTCAATGAACTGGAGTATCCAAGTCTGAAACTTGACGGGGGCTTGGTCCATGGGAGGAGACAACCGTCTTAGGCCCTGTGTGAAAACCAAAGTGAGGGGTGAAGTTTGCCCAGGAGTTCAGCCAGTGATTGTTTTCATTCACTTAAGAGCATGTATATCTTAGGGATCAATCTTTATAAAACAGTTGAGGTATCGAGTCACTCCCCTGTCCTGTTTTTTTTTTTTTTACTGTTTTATGAAAATGCTGTGGCATTTGTGAATTTATGGGTTTATGAAACTCCAGATTCATTTGAGAATGTCGTCAGCCATAGTTCTTACCTGCCCATTTTATTTGTACATAATTTGCTACTGCAAGGTTTTAAGATGCAAAAATAAAACTGGTACACATTATATAGTCTCTGAATAAAATATTGCTGAGAATAGGATGACTGAGATCAAATAGTGTTTTATTTTTCCCATCAAAAGACTTACCAATGAAGTAAGTGGTGTCCTTTTGCTACTGATCATGATTGAACCAGGACTTGTCAGGGGGTGGTATTGCTTGCCTTTGCTCTCTGAAGATAGATTTGGTCTCTGGTATAATAATTCTATGTCAGTGTTTCATTCTTTCATTTGTGTTCTGGGAAAAAACCTACTTTATGTCATTTCTGCTTCTGATTTTTGAATCAGTGTGACCGTGCTGTCCTTATTGAGAGTGTTAACTGCACTGCAGTAAGTGGCATCTGAGATTTTGGCAGCCCACTCCGGTATTCTTGGCTGAGAAATCCCGTGGACAGAAGCTGCCTGGAGGGCCACAGTCCATGGGGTCGCAGAGTCAGACATGACCAGGCACGCCCACATGCATAGACGTGGGGTTTATACGTGAGTGTCAGCCGCCCCAGAGCGGCAGTCACACAGGCTCCTCTGATTGCAGGCCATTTTCGGCCCGAGTTCATTCGCCCCCCGCCTCCGCTGCATGTGTGTGAGGATGAGCTGGCCTGGCTCAACCCCACCGAGCCTGACCACGCAATCCAGTGGGACAAGTCAATGTGCGTGAAGAACAGCACCGGCGTAGAGATCAAGCGAATAATGGCTAAAGCCTTCAAGAGCCCCCTGTCCTCTCCTCAGCAGACACAGGTATGTGTTTACCATCAGCGTTCTCCTGTAAGGAATTCACCAAGCGTTCTTGTTTCTCATGAAGTGATAAACGACCAGTGACACGGTGTCATCAACATGATCCACTGGTAGGAAGTGTCTTGGTCCCTGAAGCTCCGTTCGGCCTCCCCCTCTGCTGACTGCACTGTGGTGGGGCAGCGAGTCTGGTGCCCGAACACCTTGCAGCTTCTGCCTGCGATCAGCTCTACTCCGGGTGAGGGGCCTGAGGTGGCGCTCGCTCAGTTGGGGGCACTTTGCTCTGGCCCTGCTGCTGGGGGCTTCGTGTACACTGTTGCTAAGCTGAACGGGACTCACCGGAGGCTGAGTCTGCAGTGGCTCACATCTCACCAGGTAGGGAAGCCAGCGCCCATCACACAGCTGGTTGGTCGGGTATTCACAAGTCCCTGTGCCCGACGACGAGACTTCAGGAGACACAGGACGCTGTGGGTAGTTCCTGTTGGTGAATCTTACCCAGTTTGCACACTTTCCCATTAGAACTTGTCAGGAGGTACCTCTCCGATCCAGTGTACCACCTAACACCATCTTCAGAGTCAAGTTTAACAGCCTTGTTCATAGTTCACTTTGCTAACTAGTCAGTCTTGAAGGAGTATGTGTGTACATGCAGGTAGATGGGGACACAGCATAGAAAATGTATGTAAAGGAATGTACAAATTTGGCAAAATACATTATTTTTGAGGACACATACTTGAATCACAGTGTGCGTGTGACTTGCACTGCAGTGTACGCAGTCTGACCCCCTCCCCCCACCTCCCCCAGGTGCTGGGCAGGGCTTCAATTCCTGAGTTTCCTGATGACCTCGGTGGTCTGTGCTTTTCAGTAGTACTCACTGCTAAGATTATTTTTTATTATAACTGAAAACAAAAAAAACCTACCTACAAGGGACGTAAGGATATTATTGTTAAAATCCAGACAGTATTGATTCTGGTTTCATGCCCAGGAGGCATCAGTGTTATTTATAAACTCTTGTGATGGTGCCTGGTTGTAATACCTGACAATTCAAATGTAAGTGTCAAAATATCAAAGCATGATGATCATGGGTTTGAGGGAAGATACTGATGAAGTTGGTTCAGTGCGGGTAAATTTTATAACATTTTAAAAACAAAATAGTTGGGTATTTTTATATGCAGGAAAGAGAATTTCTAATTTGACTTCTTTTTCTCTCTTTAAAAAAACTTGATTTTATTTAGCTACTTGGAGAGTTGGAAAAGGACCCCAAACTTGTTTATCATATTGGCCTCACTCCAGCCAAACTTCCTGACCTAGTGGAAAACAATCCTCTAGTTGCTATAGAAATGTTGCTGAAGTTAATGCAGTCAAGCCAGATCACTGAATATTTTTCAGTTCTGGTCAATATGGATATGTCATTACATTCGATGGAAGTTGTAAATCGGTAAGTTTCTGTACTTGATCAAATGCTGGGTGGGCAGTATATAGATCCTGATTAAATGATTAGAAGGGGAAAAACTTGCAACAGTTTTTTTTTCCCTGACATTGTTAGTCTGAGAAAACCCATTAAATAATCTAAGCTTTAGTGTTAACTGCATATAAATTTCGCACCCCCAAGGAAGAACTTGGAGGGTATTCTGAGCCTTTAATGCTATGTTAACCACTGGACCACGTGGGAAGTCACCATCTGTGAAACCTAATTGCTAAAGTTTATTTCCCTGTGTATGGTTATATATTCTTAGTTCTCTGTGCTTAAGTCACTCGGTCATGTCTGACTCTTCGTGCTCCCATGGACTGTAGCCCAGCAGGCTCCTCTGTCCATGGGATCTTCCAGGCAAAGATACTGCAGTGGGTTGCCATTTCCTGTTCCGGGGATCTCCCTGACCCAGGGATCGGACCCAAGTCTCCTGCATCTCCTGCATGGCAGGTGGATTCTTTACGACTGCACTACCTGGGGAGCGTATATTCTTTCTCTCTACATAAATTCCAAGTGTTAGACTATTTCTGTTATCAGGGAAGGTAGGGGCCGAGCAGCTGCGGCAGCTCCGAGAACGCCTTCCTGGAATCCCGGCGCTGCTCTCTGAGCCGTTCTTTGGTTTGGCCTCCTTGCTCTGCTGTCATCGACTGTCAGGGAAGCAACAAGTGGGTTCTCACTTTCTTATTTTGCTCACAAGTTAGTTTTAAATACCTCACAAACTTCACAGACTTGGAGGTTCGCTTGGGAACCTACTATTAAGCTGTTTATATGTAGTGTCGTTCAGGAAGATCCCCAGGAGGGGGAAATGGCAACGCACTCCAATATTCTTGCCTGGGAAATCCCACGGACAGAGGAGTCTGGCGGGGTACAGCAAATGGGGCCACAGGAGAGTCAAACACGACTGAGTAACCGAACAACAGAGAGTGGAGCCGTATAGTCAGGCTTGCCTGGTCTGCTCCCGGTGTAGGCTTCTCATCCCCAACCCCCCCCCCCGTCCCCCGCACACGTGGTGTCCTGTTTCGGGGCTAAATGTGACAGACTTTCTGCTTACGGGGAGATCCATTCTGAGTGCCAGGCAGCTACAGTACAGTTGGAGCACTTTGTGGAGCGCTCGTTTGGGAGTCGGGGGTTACTGTTTCTAACCTATTTACAGCTGTACTGAGCTGGGACTCCCTGGCAGCCCAGTGGTCAGGACTCAGCACTTCCACTGCCGAGGGCCCACATCCTCTCCCTTGGGCAGGGAGGGGCCACACGACTAAGATCCCAAAATCTGCATAGTGAAGCCCCCCCGGAAAAAGTCCTTTTAAGTTAATCGGCTGGTGGGAAAAGCCTAACTGAGAGCCCAAGGCAGGTGTGTGCTAGGGCAGGACAGGTCTGGGGAGGGAGAGAGGAAGCGTGTGGTTTTCAACCTTCATTTTCTGTCGCTTGCAAGACCGGTTAACCTGCTGCTTCTGCCGCCGCCTTGTTTGAGCCTTCTTCTGTTCGGGTCCTCCAGGCTGACCATGCTGAGTGCTCACTTACTGTCTAAACGAGATCATAGGCACTTTGTCCAAGGATAACTACATCCTTTTATCATAGTGTGGACATGTTTCAAGGGTGGGGTCTGCTGTGGGAGCCCCACTCACCCACCTCATTGTGCATCACCCTATCCCACGCGTCACCAGCAGCCCATGGCTGCGTTTCCTTGGAGCCTTGTGGGAAAAAATTCTGTAGTCAAGTAAGTTTAGAAACGTGCCACGCCAACCCCCGATTCTACACTTTACTCAGATCATTTACTGATTTGAAGGAATACTTCTGTCTGTGGGTTTCAATTTAAGTCATATGCCCTGTGAAGCCTTTCCACTTACACTGCTCTTTGTGCTTCATGTAAGTACTTAGTCATGCATTGTGCTGTTCAGTTCCTACCACGCTTTCCTTCACAAGTGCTCCTTGCATAGCACTCCTGTGTAATCAGGTTGGTATTACTTACGTAGACGGAGTAATTGCCACATTGTCAGAGCCTGGATGCTGACTAGGAATTACAATTCAGCCAAGACCACACAGGGACATGGTGCTCAGCGCTTATTACACACGAAAAATGGCAGTGTTACTTATTAACGGGGGTGAGTGGGGTGGGTGGCGCTGATGTTTACTTGCATGAACCATTAATATCAGAATTTTTACTAAGTGACTGAAATTAACAGGCCTGCCTTTGTTTTTATGAAACAGACTAACCACAGCTGTTGATCTACCTCCTGAATTTATTCACCTTTATATATCCAATTGCATTTCTACCTGTGAACAAATTAAGGATAAATATATGCAGGTAAGTAACAATTTTTGTAACCTTTATAAATACCTGCCCTGAAAACAGACGCTAACACAGGTTCCTTTTTCAGAATCGTCTGGTGCGTCTTGTGTGTGTCTTTCTCCAATCCCTGATCCGTAACAAGATCATCAACGTGCAGGACTTGTTTATAGAAGTGCAGGCCTTCTGCATTGAGTTTAGCAGGATCCGCGAGGCTGCGGGCCTCTTCCGGTTGCTGAAGACCCTGGACACTGGGGAGACACCTGCCGAGACCAAGATGTCCAAGTGATGCCTCTTTGGGACTTCCCGTTCGTTGTTCAGCTGTGCTGTGCTTTCCTTTTTAAAACTGTCCAGACCCCAGTGATTGCTTGGTTTAATGCACATAAACATCACTCCCTCCACTTAAGAGTCTTGCCTCCCTGGGTGACTTTTCCCTTTAGATGAATTTTTGGTAAGAACCTGGAAGAATGCGTCCTGTAGGTGTCTTGCTGATGGCTATCCACAGGGAAAGGTCATCCCAAAGTCACTGCACTCGGGAGATGAGGCCATCAGCATTGAAGGCTTGTTTTTGCTTAAGATGTAAGTCACAGGCTTCTGATAAGGCTTTAGGGAGAGTAAATGAAGACCCTCTTTAAGAACATGAATTCCTGCCCCTGGGGCCTGGAGTCATCCCAGGATGGCAGTCTGACCCCTAAACCTCTCACTGGGCCCAGTGTGAGCCATGGACACACGTGTAACCTCATGCTTTCCTTTCACGGGGACCTAAGAGACAACAGAGTAAGCGCTTTTCTTGGGCTGCCTACCAACGTGGGAATTCCTAGAAACTGCTTTTGGGGACTGTAATAGCTGGTAGTTCTCTGGGCTTTCTCTCTTGATGTTTGGTGCTCTGGGAGGACGGTCCTGGGGAGCTGTCCTCGCCGAGTGGGGTGTGTGCCCCTCCTGTGGGCTGTTACCCCTCTTTTAACTCTGGACAACAGTGCCTTACATTAAAGTTTTCTATGAACTCTATTATCTGATGTTTTTACTTGAAGAAATCATGAAAAATCCCCCATCTACTGATGTACTTTCAAAGCATACTCTACAGAAACCTGAGTCACTCACTTTCTAGTCCAACTCTTAAGCAAAAGTTAAAGGCTATACCAAGCAGGGCAGGTTTTAAGATTAACATAAATTCCAGCCTTGTAATACTGGCAAAAGAGTATGCCTAGATGATGAGGAATTTTAGCTTAGGCATTCTCATAAAGGGAAGGGATTTATAAATATACCTGCTTCAGAAGGACCCAAACTGGTGTAACAGGTGTGCCTTCAGAAATCATTTAAAAGTCATTAAAAGTCATTTTAATGATGGCAGTAATGGACTTTCCACACCTAACTTTTCTGTGCCCAGGGCTGACACGCGGGCATCACCATTTTACATGTTAGCACTGGGCAAAGAAAGTTTATTAGTCGGTACTCTCTGTGATGGTGAAGTTTTGACCACACTACTGCCGGAAGCCCCCCAACTCGGGTTCAGGCCCTTCCGATTCTCGGTAAGCGAGCGCTCCTGGCCAGCAGCCTGGATGCACACGTGAAGCTCACCTAACACACGTTTTGTCCGTAAGGCACCTCAGTCATGTTGCAGCCCTATGCCTAGGCACTGTCCCAAGCTATGCAATCACCAACTGAAGCAGCACAAAATGTCAGAGATGTGGCACCACGCCGACCACACAAGGACACCTGTTGTCAGTCTGACACTAGAAGACCACGTCCTCCTGTCCAGCCGCACCTGGGAACGCATGTGCCGGCAGCTGGGCACCTCACTGCCCCCGGAGCATCCACAAGTCGCCACCCATGCAAACACTGATTTGGGGCCACAAATGGGCTTTTGTGGGCAGATCTGCAACATGGCCTGTGACTAAAGACAGACCACTGCTCATCATTTCCAGGTTACAGTCCTGGTGTTTACTTGACAGAGGAAAGGGTTTCAGATGTATTTCAAATAAATAGCTTACAAAGAATAGTAGTTATATTTAGAGAACATTTTATGGGAGGAGAAGAAAAAACCCCAGATACATTTACAACACCAGCAAAAAGTTCTTCGTTAAACATGTTTAAAAGTAGAAGAAAGTTTACCTGAAATAAAAGGAACTATAGTCCTGGGATTTGATAACTGCATCAACTTTTAAGTTTAATTAGATGAGTTCATGTTTTTTAAAAACCACGTCTTGAATTCTCTGGACTTTCAGTTCCAATTTCTAGCTTTAATATCTTCAAATCACCTGTTTAAAGAAGACAGCAAGAAGACCTGTTAAAATGACATCTTAGGGTAGAAAGATGTTCAAAAAAGTATTTGTGATCCTAAAATATAACTATTTCAAATACCTTTATCAATACTGTTTACTTATGCAACTCTAAGAAAATGGTATCATTCAACTTTTATTCTTACAGAAATAGACAAACTTTCATAAATTTTAATGGACTCAATCGACATGAGTTTGTGGAAACTCTTAATGCGGAAAATCCTTACGAAAAGGACTTCCAAAAGCCTGAGATTCAATAACTGTAATCAGCCTAACAGAAAGTGTAACTGTTTTCCCAAGTTTCTCTTCATCCGTTGATACATGAGCCTCCAACGCGTCAAAAAGAATGGATTGACTTTTTTTGTACTAGTCTTAAACTAATGTAATGCAAATACTTTTTTGATTTACAACTTATTTTATACTTTCCTGTTAGGATGAGGGCACACCTTCTAGCTGCATGGCTGATGATGACATTGTTTTACTTTTGTAACTAGTAATAGATGTGCCAGTACTTTGGAAAATGAAATGCTTTTAAGTGTTTTAAAACTTCAAAAATGAAAATTAACTGGGAAAAGCATCGGTGGCTTTTCTAATTGGTGATCTCGTGACAGAAGCAGTGTGCAGAAGATGAACTCTGGTTCAGGCCAAAGTTCTGTGCTCTGTAAGTTGCAAATTAGAGTTTACACCAAGCCTGGAGAAATGCTTTTGACTAAAACATGTAAGTACCTCAGGTTCTAGTTAGCCATGTATATGGGCTGACTTACCCTCAGCCCGCATTGACCATACGAGCTTTAATGTGCTCAGAAACAGAGACTATAGCTAAGCTAAGCCGTCTTACCGGGGCATCTGGTTGTGTTGGGCATTTTGTCCCAGTGAGAACAGCCTGGTTCTTGAATGTCTTGTGTGCTTCTGCGCTCAGGGATGTCTGACTCTGCAACCCCGTGGACTGCAGCCTGCCAGGCTCCTCCATCCATGGGGTTTTCCAGGCAAGAGTACTGGAGTGGGTTGCCATTTCCTCCTCCGGGGGATCTTCCCAACCCAGGCAAGGAGCGAACCCATGCCCCCTGTGTCATGTGAATTCTTTACCATTATGGTATATTACTATTATTATTGTTTTCATGATCCTAGTCACTAGTCTTTGATGTAGCAAGTATATCATAAAACATGCAGAAAGGTGCTTATTGCATGCTGAAGGCCCAAAGTTGCCCAGGGTTCACCAATCATCTCTTCTTAACAATGTCTGAGCTTGCTGGAAAGGCCCGTTTTGGAAACCGTGCCCCAACATTACTGAGGTCAGACCAGAGGTTCGCTTCAGGAGGTTTTGTCATCGTGCACCCACCGAGAGCCAACTGCCAAGGGACACACTGCAATTCGGCCTTTTAGTGTCATCACTCCTCAGTAACGAGGGGGCAGTCCCCCGGGAAGGGTCTGGGTGCCCAACATCCCCAGCAGGACCGCGGGGAGGAGCTGTTACCTGCTGCAGGTGACGTGTGCGCATCCCTCCAGGCGGCATGGCTCTCTGAGCGGAAGCCCTGAAGCTGCAAGGCAGGGGCGCTGGCATCCACGGGCACATGCTGTCCTCCACACACGACCGAGGCCCTCACAGTTAAAAAGAAAGAACACTGTCTCTACGTTATTTGTGAACAAAGCTTTCAAGACAACTGTCAGAAGGAAAGTGATTACTGCCATTCAGTAGTACAATCTGAACTAAACCTCTCTGCTTTACTAACCTTTCTTCATTTATATTCCCCAGATTCCCAGCATTTTATCAATGTTGTGTTTCAGCAAAAATTCTAGTAACTGACCCTTCATCACGTCCACCTAAGAAAATCCTTTTGAAAGGAAACATTTTCCTTACCAAGTACAGAAGAGTTTTCTGTCTGCTCTTGCAGATTTCTTTATTTGCTGTTAAAGACTTGTGCTTCTAGAGATGACAGTACTATAATTTTTCCAGTCTCTTATGTTTATAACTTAGGGTCAAAGTCTCTTTTTTTTTGACTGTGCCTCACAGCACAGGGGATCTTAGTCCCCTGACAAGGGATGGAACTCGTGCCCCCTGCAGTGGAAGCACAGAGCGCCAAACAGTGAACCCCAGAGGAGTCCCTCAAACTCCTGAATTAGGTAAAGCTCTAGTTGACAGCCGCTGATAAGAACTCACTGGCTCATAATCATCAAAAACAATTCACCCTGATCTGTCAAAGCATTCTTTAAAGTCAGCTTCAAAAAAAAAATAAAATAAATAAAAATAAATAAATAAATAAAGTCAGCTTCATTGGCTAATGGGAAGAATTAAAGCACTTTCCACTAGTATGTGTCTTAAAATACAAAGAGCAACCTATTTGGTATAGAATCAGGGACATATTTTCCTATCTGCAATGAATGACACAGAAGGCAAATTTCAAAGATAATGGCCATTATGGAAACCCACTGCAGTGTCTGCTGAAATTAGCACTCAAGAATAAGGCAATTTCTATCCCAATAGCTCTTCCCTTGGAGTCTGGCCTCGGTTGATATCAGTAACACTGTTGAATCACCTAGAGTTTCACCGAGTGGCTGGAATCAGAGTGTACTAAGTAACTTGAAAAAAAATAAATAACCTATATAAACTTTACGTCTTAGATACAGGTATAAGAATGAATTGTTTACACTTTAAAAATTATGTACTCTCATAAACATTTATTTTTACCATGAAATAAAGATGTACACAGTAAACAGTTTGGAAGCTACAAAGGACTACAACTTCAAGCCGTAAAACACTAACTTCCTCACTCTGGCCCTTCCACCTCTAAGTGCCGGCAGAGTGCAGTGTGTGTGCGTTTTTGTTGGTTTTTTGGCCACCCCTGTGGCATGCAGAGCTTCCCCAATCAGGGGTCGAACCTGCGTGCAGCCCTGCAGGGGGAGTGCAGAGTCTTCACCACTGTGTGTGTGTTTAATCACTTTTTCAACTTAGGGAGTGGCCCCCAAAGCTTCAGAGCAGCCTAATCCCCCTGCCTTCAAGGAAGAGCAGCAAACAAGAGTGAAAGGGAGAGATGATGAAACGAGTTCACTGTCATTAAGCTTGCTTTAAAATTAATCGAGAAAACTGGTTACTTGTTTAACAGCAACCGAAAGTCTGCATCTATCACCCTTTTAATTGTAAAGATTAAACTCTAGTTGAAATCAGTAAATTCATCATTTACCTAAAAAAAAAATCCACATCAGAGTCTGTTTACTCCATTTCCTTAACAAGCAATGAAGAACTTCATGCTCGTGTGCGATACAGAATCTTAGCTTTTTTTATTTGTAGGAAAAAAGGGACAAAACTTCCCTCCCCATCAAGGTTACTAGAAGAAATTAGGTAATAAAAGGGAGAAATGAAATTACTCAAGTCCACCAGTACTTTTCTCATAATTCCAAATTTAAAAAACAACAATGAAAGTTCTCTCAGGTTTGGAAATCTCTCTAAAATACAGAGGTGCAAGAAAGCAACAGATTTCTCTCATCACGTTGACAAGTTTAATGTTCTAAAAAAGTCTTTCCTCCAGGGAAATTCACATGACCAATTACTGAATATAATCACGCAACTCCATTTCAACTAGTGTAAAGTCGACGTGCTTAAGCTAGAACCATCCTTGAGAAGACAGAATCATCTTTTGATACATTTCAATAGATAAATATATCAAGACTAATCAAAAAGCCTCTTGAAAGAATAAAATAGCTCTTTGTATACCAAATTAGAACCTGAAAGGTAAAAGAATGTACATTATTTTCACATATACAAACTATGCACTAAAGTAAAAAAAATAGAGTGTCCTTTAAGTCGAGCCTAGGCTCTGTCCGTGACACGGTCCACAGGTCGCACACTAGCAGGTGGGTCCGTCACGCTGAGCGTTGCTCCTGCCTGTCTCTACAACAAAGCAACGGGAGCCAGTGTCAGTCGCTGGGCATATTCTGGGCTTTGGTTACATAAACATTGTTACATTTGGAGATCCAAGTTCATGAAACAAATTACAGAAATTTTTAAATAAAACTTACATGGAAAGACAGCACCTATTCCAGACAGAGAGTTAAGAAAATATAAAAACACCTTCTTCATATAGAGCATGAGAGGTTTTCTAGTCTAATCAACAAGCATGTGGTCAGCTCCGTGCAACAGAAAAGACGCAGGCTGAGCTGGTGGGATTAACTGGAGTGTGCTTTCAAACACGCAGCAATGGCATCACCACCCAGGAAGACAGCAGCTTGCATTTACCGGGCAATGTATATTGACCCTGCCAGCTAGAGACAGCTACATTGTTATCCAATCTAGAGACTGGAAATTGAGACACGGAGAGGTTCAAACTGGCATTTGAGTCCAGTCGGATGTTGCCAGGAAAGGAGAACAGAATAATTTTGGTGCAAAAGGTTTCTTTCAGGAGTACAGTACCTCCTCAAATATAGGAGAACCAAGCACTGTGAGTTCACCTACAATCAGACCTGAGGTCAAGTGGACTAGAGAGGAGCCCACTGATGCAGACACCTTCTGCAGGGAGTGGGCTGCCCTAATAACCCCCACCTTCATCTCGAGAAAGTGTTAGCTTAGCTACTGGTGAAGTTACATTATACTCTGGAAGACCTAAGGTCAGCTGGAAAGAATTAACTTTTTTCCAGTGTAATAGTTCTCAAATGATGCTGTTATGATGGCAGGCTAGAAATAATATTAACACATAAATTACCTGTCAAATTTACTGGTGAACAAATACTTAGAAATTCAGGTTAATAATTTTACCTGTCCTGAAATATCTCAAGGGTAGTCAAGTAGTAGAGGAAACAAATTTCGTTTCCCATCTGGAGACTGAAGGAAATGGCAAAAATTACAATGGAATGCATCTGGGCTCAATGTAACGGAATTGCTAAAAACAAGGTAGTTCATTCCCAGCAGGAGACCCAGCTAGGAGAACAGGCTAGAAGACCTCCTATGTGATCCACCTTTCCACTTCCTAATTCTCTGAAACTCATTCTCCCTTATTCTTATACAATGCATTCTTTCTTCCTCAGGTTCTGCTTTAAAACTTCACTTCTCATGTTTCTATCTTTGCCTCCCAGATTCTAAAAATGTACAAAAAAAAAAGACAAACTGATTCAGTTTGAATATTACCAATTTGGAAAAATATTTTCTTTTTCCAGGTTGGCAAATTCAAAATCAGAAGCATCAATTCTTCTCAGTTAAATCTATAAATTAGTTCAACTATAATAAAAATTTTCATGGTATTTTCTTATACATGGTAAATTGATTTTAAGATTAATCTTAAAAAATGAAAAACAGCTCAGAAAATTTTTAAAATAAGAAGATGAGGAAATTTGCCTTGCTTTGTGAATATCAAAACATATTATTCACAGGTAATGATCACTAAACAACTGACAAGTGGTTAAATATTTGGGAAAAATAGTTGAGTTAAATCTTTTCTGAAGCTATGTGCATTAAAGATTTAAGCATAAAATACAAAACCACAACTGATAGTAAAATATAAGTTAATAACCCTGAGAAAGACTTTCCTAAGTTAGCAATCTATTAAAGGCAGAATCATGCAAAGTATGAGAAGGCTGGACTAGATAAAAAACAAAGCAAAGACCAAAAAGTTCTTAGAATCAATATGAAAAAATTAGTTTTTCTATAGAAAAATAAATTAAGGATGAAATGGGCAACTCAGATAAGAAATATAAATAACCAACAAATACGAAAAGAAGGTAGTTGCATCAGTAACTTTAAAAATGCAATTCACTCTATTTTACCTATGAGAAGGGCACAAGATAGACAGGTGGTAAACACACACATGATCATCAGTGTTACTGACGATAAAAGTCCAATCCATCAGCAGGACGTGGTTTACAGAAACTATACTGAACCCAGAATGTACTAGTACCCAGCTGCACAAAATCACATGTCTTGTCTACGGATACAGAGTTTCGTACACCAAGAGGAAGAAGCGGGTTACCTGAGGGCACACAAATGATATTCTCTTCCTCTTCACACACAAACACAAAAAATTTGAGATATATTTATCAAAATGTTGAAACAGTATTGTATCTGCAGGGGTAAGATCATGGTTTTCATTTTTCCTTTATGTTTTTTCTGCACGTTATGGGCTTTTCCACTTTCATTTAAGCACTGATAACACCACTGTTTGCTAACTGGCGAGTGACTCACCCAGCAAGGCTGTGTTTTCACCTGCATCCTCTTTAAAGCTGGCGTCACAGGGTGGCACAGGGTCACTGGTAGAGGGCAACTCGGAGCTGCCAGTGTCACTTCTCTCGCCGTCTGCTACCATGAGACTAAGATCTGCAGCCGAGACGCCCCCAGGGGGGGATTCTGGGGCAGTCGCCTCCTGTGCGTCCTCAAGCTCGCCCTTGAGAGTCAGAGCAAAGAAACACCTTTTCTCAGTAACACCATCAAGCTTGTCTATCATCATCTGCTCATAATTCAAACAAACTATTTAAACATCAATATTGCAAAAAGCACATCAGTGTCTTCTTAGCATCACCAGAAAGCGAGTTACTTCTCAGTAAGTAGCTTTTCATGGCCTAAATGCTTTTCCTCCAAAAAACCATGTTTCCCTTGACACAAGCGATGCCACCTTTTAAACTACGTATTGACAGAAAGTGAAGCTCTGTCACAAATGATTGTCCTGACTTCCTGAGCAGCCTGGCTGGCTGATGAGCACTGAGACCGCCGCAACCGCTGCCAGCGGCCAGCGCTCAGGAGACACGCAGGCCCCTGAGCATCAGGGGGCGCAGTGCCCGGCTCACTCAGAGAGCGCCGATTCTGCACTGGGTGTCTGTCTGCTGCCAGTGTGCCTCCACTTCCCCACGTGCTGCTTTAAAGAAGAAAATGAGGCCATGAAAGTGTGCACAGGAGACCCTACAAGCACCCCTGCATTGAGTCTCAAAACCTGGGGGCCATCCAGAAACCTTTCTTGATTAACGCCAGAGTCAAAGTTGTGATGGACGCATCTGCTGGTCAAAGACCGACTGGGGGGGGGGGCGGTGTCCTGTGAGCCCGGGCTGAGACTGAGCACCACACAGCCTAGCTGCCCGCTCCACTCCTGGGGTCCTCAGGACCAAAGGCACTGCTGCTCCCGCTGCCGGCTCCACCTGTGTTCTAGAACCTTCTTCTGACTCCTGGACCCCGCGTGGCTCATTGCCTTCCCACAGGCACCCCAGAGAAGACGCCTGCCACACCAACCACCAAGTCCTGCCGGGCTGCTGTCGTACCACGCTCCCGCTCAGCCAGCCCTGACCTGTGTTTCCAGGTCCTTGTCTGAACACCTGCCAGGCTGAACTAGCTGCCCATCTCAGGCCCCACGTGGTCACTCACCATTGACCTGTGATACGCAGAGCCATTAACACGCAGCTCAAATGTCCCTCCAGCAACCCCTCCCTGAGCTCCCCCATTGCTGCTGGCAGGGTCAAGGCTTCCCCCCTCTGTGCCCCCCACTCTCCAAACAGGCCTCCTGGGCCAGCGCGGTGGGGTGCATGCCTGCCCCCTGCCAGTCCAGATGGCGGAATCTCTGGGAGCCAGTGAGCAGAAGGGTGGAGTCCTGTCCAGCTCTGTCTCTCCAGAGCCAAGTCCAGACCCAGCACTGCACACCCCTGATAAGGGCTGACCCCGGGAGCAAACACGACAGTGACAAGAGGCATGTCAAAGTGGTCACAGCTGCAAAGTCAGGCACCACTCTGTGAGGGCCAATGGCTGCTCTCACTGTGGTCATTTCTCACTGTGGAAATTAGAACTAGTTACCACACGAGAGGAGAGTGTAAAACTCGCTACAACTCAATGCAGGGGGGTCAGCGGGTCTAAAGAAAAAGGCAGATCTGTCAAAGAATTAAAAAAATAAATAAAGGCAAGACAAGTTAATTTCTTAAGTGTGATTTCAAATTACTGTAGGTTTCTTCAGAACAGAAAACAACCTTTCTGGGAACACATATTCTAGCCTTCTGAAACATTCTGAAAGCAAGACAACCTGATGTAAAATGAGTCTTGATTTTTAACGTGTGAAATATATGTAGATACATTTCCAAAAACAGTCTCAATGCTAAGGTCAATGGAATGCCTTTTCCACAAATGTTTAGAAATGAAAAGCAGGTTTAAAGTTACCAACTAATGAAGACAGCAACTCAAAAAGAGTTTCAGAGTGCATCCACAGAAGGAAGAGGAGGAAAACTGCCAGGAAACCACCTGTTTAATCCCTGGCTTCCACTGTTTAAGACCTGGTCCCAGCAGGGCTGGGCAAGACAGGAATGAGCCACGGTCACTAAGAAAGCCCAGGACACCAGCCAAGCTGAGGAGAGCCACCAGTTATCAGAGACAACCAATCAATGAACATTAGAGATTCTAGAGCAAAGACACATTTTCTAGACATCCAGGTGGGTAAGGTTCCAGTAAGACAGTTCTGCCTCCCTCTGTGTATCCACACTGAGGCCTCTGCAACTCACACTTGAACAGTGTTAATTCACAGAAAATCACCCTGGTTATTAAGACAGTGCGTGGTCCCCTAGCTCTCTTTTGAAGATATGCTGAGCTGGAAAACGAAAAATATTTTGAAGGGGGCCTGCAGCTTTGAGGGCTGATACAGTCACATAAAACCATTATCATAAAAAAAGTCTCTTTAGTAAATGCTGCAAAAACCTCTTATGTTTAGCAACAAGAATAATATTATCTGATATTTAAATTACTTCTCTCAAAGATCTCTGTTTCAAAACAATTTATATTTAACCAAGAGTATTTTGGGACAGTAACAGATTCTATTTAGACTCTAAAAAATATAACAATCTAGGAAAACCTGTTTTCCCTCTTTTTGGGTAGGAGGGCTTGGACCCTGGAATTAAGCAAACTTACACCTGAAAGCTGATACCCCATCACATCACTCGTGACTTTAGGTGAGCGACTTCTCGCTAAGCTCGTGTTTCTGGTTACTAAAGGCGGCTACTAAAGGTGGCTACTAAGGGCGGCTACTAAGGGCAGCTACTAAAGGTGGCTACTAAAGGTGGCTGCTAAGGGTGGCTACTAGAACAGTGCGCCCCTCCCAAGGGGCCAGGAGCCAGTGTCTTGACTCGAGCGAGTCATTCAGTGCACGGCTGCAATAACCTGCTCTCTCACTCCGCTCTCCTGGCTCTCTTCTCTGAGCGCGGTCCTGTGACCAGCCCAGTATGGCAAAGTGATGGAGCACGTTCGCTGCAGCAGGAATTTCCCCTGCGGCATCTGACTCTGAAACCCAGGTATCGGGCGAGCTCCTGTCCAGAGGTGCTGGCTTTTGCTCCCTCGTATGTAAAGTGTGCACCTGGCCCCTTGCAGGTCAGATGTTTTACACTCACTATTTCTAAGACACTGACCAGGATCTGTAAGACCCTGCAGAGTATTACAACATATAGCAAAAATACCACTCTAAGTATGAACTTTAAGCATATACCTAGTGTATTATTTGATAACTCTGTAAGTTCATTGATTTGGGGGGAATGTCTTAAGAATTCACTTTTAATATAGAGGAAAATTTCTTTAGGAACCAGCAGAACCCTAGAAGGAGCATCTGGTTCACTCCTCCTGCCTCTGGTCAGGAACAGAATCAAATAACTCAGGGAGAATGGGGGCAGTGGGGTGGGGGAGCAGAGATTGAATATAAACAAAAACATAACAAACCCAATATCCCAGGGCTTTGATGACATCAAGTTTACACATTGGACACGTGCGGTGATCCAAAAGCCATGGGTCAATGCATATTCTATGAAAAATATGCCTAAAAAAATTAAGTACGTGTTAATATCTTAAAATAATTGCTTATACCTTATAAAGGAAATAACACATCCTACCAACTCATCTTCTTGTTTACAAGTCAAATGCCGTCATATCAAAATTCGAGTGTATCCACTTACCCTGGGTGGTTACCTGTTCTACTTTCCAAATTAAATGGAATTTGGCATTTAGAGGGAAATTCCCCCTTCACTGCATGAAAACAGCATGGTTTATTTCTGTATCATGCCGGAATGTATTTTTATGTGCCTCTGTTAGCCTTTTGGGAATGAATGTGACCTAAGAAACTGAAGAGTAAACTAACAGTAACAAGCTAATAAAAACTGATAGTATCTTATATAAAGTGACTCCAGTAGAAATACAACAAAATATCAATTAAAATATTAAAGTCATCTTTGGGCCACAAGTTAAACACTTATTTTTTGTCTTTATGTATTTTTGTAGCATCTACATTTTTCTAGAATGAACACATTAGTTTCAGAATTAAAAAAAGAAATCACATATGAATTTTCTTATTTTACTAATGTTTTCATTGGCTCACTTCCCCTCTTGGGTGATGAATCTACAGTTTATCTGTGCTGCAGGTAAGCGGGTGTGGGGATCAGAACCACACCGATTAGGCTCAGATGCCAGCTGTGTGATCAGATGCTATGACTCTGAGCTAGATCCTGAGGTCCCTTTGCACCTACCCCAAAAGCTGTTCTGAGGAGCAAACATGCCATGTGACTACTAGGGTAGTGGGCACTATAAATCCTCAGCAATTTTTCATTATTATTACTGTCATCATTGTCTAAAGACCTTTTCTCCAAAGGGAAACCTGTCACGGCAGTTAAAAACAGCAGCAGGTAAGGACGTAAGGTGGTCCAACCCAGCTTGTCTTGTGACCTGTCCATCCTTAAACTGAGACTGACCCACAGGAATAGTTTTGAGGAAAATAAAACAAACATGTTGGTTCCATCGGGAAATTAGTTGAAATAAATCACAGGAGAAAACTGGGGTGGGGTGGGGGCAGGAAATGAAAACCCCACTAAGGAGACCAGGATACATGCACATTCAGGATACACTCAGCTGTTTATGATATGAGTGCAAGTCCCAGCTCGGCCATCAGGAGCATCTCCATTTCCTGCAAAAGGAAATCTGGCTGCTCACTGTGTGGCATTCAAGGCAGAAAGGCTTGCCCTCAACCAGCCTAGAGTAATAATTCTTTTCTATTTTAATAATGTTCTACAGGACACCGTCAACTGACATGGACCCCAATTCATTAAGGACCCGGCACACCAACCCGCATGAACTCCTGTAGATTTAAGTTCACATCTTGAAGCAGGGAAATTAATTTTTTTATTCTGCTCCGCACTGCTTCCTGTCCTCTACAGAACTCCTGAGAACTTTATCTCCTATAAAGTACTGGTGTATACGCTGAACACTCGCAAACATAAAGTGAGGCACAACTGCATAACAACTTGGGACCTGCTTCTAATCTGTGCAAAGCAGAACTTAAAATGACCAGTTTTAAAACATAGTCTCTGTACACCTTTCTGCTGACAAAGCAATTTTTAAAGAAAAGTTATCAAAGCACCTCATGATTAAAAAGGAAACATAATTTCTTATTGCTTAAAAAAAAACTAGTTAAATAAAGGAGGAGTATTTATTTCACACAACCCCAGAAAGAATCCAAACTCAGGGTGCAAGTAACAGCAGAGCCTAATCTAAGATAAAAGGCATCTCCATAGAAAAATAACAGATAAAAATACATAACCAGGAAATGTCTTTAAGGATAACATTTCTAATAAATGTCTGGGAAAAGTTCACTAGTTTAAAACATAAGAATTAAAATATTTAAAAGCTAAAAAAAAAACCAATGATAATAGCAGCAGAGCCTGAGCCAGGTCTGTTGACTGTCCCTGGCCCTCTCACCCAGGGCCTTCACCTGGCCAGCTTCAGGTTCCTTTCTCCCAACATGGCAGACTTTCTCCATTGATAAATGTACAGTATAGACCCCCAGGACCCTACTGAAGCCTCCTCGCCTATAAGATAAAAAGCCAATCTGTAACAAAATGAGACAGTGGGTCTTAATGGTCACCTAAAGTATTCAAGCAAAACAGTCTTAAAGTAAAACAGTACAAGAGGACCTTGAAGACTTTGAGCTTCTTTTCTAAGAGGTGAGATGATTGCAAGATATCACCTGATAGTAAGATTCTTCATATCCTGAAAGACATGTTCCCTATTTGGTCAGAAACCTGAAATTTGTGAATTTTAACATCTCAGGAAGTAAGAGAACGTACTTGCATGGCAGAATTCTGATAACGTCCCTTCCTTTAAAATTTTCAATACACACTGCACAACTTTCAGCATCGACATCAATCCCCTGTGAAAAAGAAGAGCAAAGAATTTGCTGTATCCTTAGCAAATAGTATGTGCTTCCCTGGTGGCGCAAACTGTAAAGAATCCCCCTGCCAATGCAGGAGATTTGGGTTCAACCCCTGGGTCAGGAAGATCCCCTGTAGGAGAAAATGGCAATCCACCCTAGTATTCTTGCCTGGGAAGTCCCATGGAGAGAGGAGCATGGCGGGCTACAGTCCATGGTGTTGCAGGGTTGGGCATGACTGAGCGACTAATACTAGTAAATAATATACTCGGTAAAACTCACTACAACAAAAACTAAACAAAAATGAAACTCACTACAACTCAACTAAAACAATGATGAATTCTAGTCTGCATTGGTACATCCTGAAATTAAATACAGATAGTTTCCACTTGGTATTTATTTTTACCACTATCAAAAAGATTTTATTTTTAAAAGAATTTGTCTGAACAGGAAAAAATTTCACTGTCTACCTAATCAGACACGCATGTTTAAATAAGAGGCTGTTCATTTTTTTAAGTGACCATATATTTAAGGGCTGTAGAAATGCAAATGCCTGTTTTATTATAAAAAAATTTTCAAATATAAAACTTAAAAGAGAATGAATATTTAATGAGATATATGTTTTCTGGAATCATTGGAAATATACAAAAGCAGTTTCATTAGAATATGCTAAAGAACAAAGTTATAACTTGCAGATGAGAAAATGCAAAGTTATAACTCACAGATGAGAAAATACAAATGAGATACTTTCGGACTAAGTATCTGAAAATATTCACCTCACTAGTGATAAAAGAACCACAAATTAAAATAAGCTACCTTTTTTTTTTAAAAGCAACAACGCAAGGCCAAACTTGCAAACCCAAGGAACGCAACCCAACAAGCCCCCCCGGCCCAGGGAACCCCCAAAAAAAAAAAACGGAAGGGGCCGCCAACTCCCCCCCCAAGGCAACCTCCCCAACCAAGGAACCAAACCAACGCCCCCGCAACGGCAAGGCGAATCCTTAACAACGGGAAACCCCAAGTAACTTTTCAATACATCAAGTTAACAAAGGTAAAAAGAAACAAAAATTTCTGGGGAAGCAGTCTTGTGACACAATTTCAGCTTCTGAGAGTCTGCAGGTCATGACCTTTCTGGGGGTGTCAGCTCATCCCACTTTCCTGTGTACCACCTGGATCTGTCCACCTGGCTTCAGCCCATCAACCAAAATAATAAGCATGGCCGACCTGGTCACCTGACCCAAATTTGGCCGATGAGCTTGTCTCCTTCAGGACTCTGGGATAGGGACTCAGTTATCAGTGTCTATAGCTTTAGCAAGTTAATTTTATGGAACTCAGCTTCACAGTCATCATGTAATTATTTAAAAGTACCTTTAAGCACATGGGTCCCTTGTTAACAAGCAAGCAGTAAAAACTGATTTTATATGTGGATATTGCTATCAAAGATTGCACTAAAATTAACTTTGTTACTGAACTTAAAATTAGATGTTGCAACTAGACATTATCACCTTTTTTCACATGCCAAGAAAGAATGATGAAATCATTTTTACTTCCCTAATGGTCTGCAAGCTTATACAGTACTGTGATTGAGTCCATAAGAAAAACTAGGAAACAACCAGTCTCCGGAACTCGACAAGATGTAGATTTAAGAAAAAACACAGTCTTTATTTGCACAAATTAAACATGCAAGACTGCCAGAAAATCCACCTATATACCTCATGGATCATTTATGGAGACTTTTTTTAACCATTATTTCTGACAATAGTCTGTAGGAGCATATTTTCAAAATTGTTCTGTACAGGAAGAGGGTAATATCACTTGACTTATGTTCCCAAAGAGGTCGTGCAGTAAATTACACATATTAATCTATGTCTTCTCATACTTAAGGACAGATTTCCTGCCAGAGAGCAGAAGATACATTTCAAGAGGAACATAAAACTGTGCTTATCATGGAACTGCTAGCCGAATGCACAGCCTGTCTCAAGATACTTGCTGGGGACTCTCTCCCCTGGGGGGCTCTTCCCTGACAGCTCAGCTGGTAAAGAATCTGCCTGCCAATGCAGGAGACTTAGGTTAGATCCCTGGGTAGGGAAGAGCCCATGGAAAAGGAAATGGCAACGCACTCCAGTATTCTTGCCTAGGAAATTCTGTGGATAGAGATGCTTGGCGGGCTATAGTCCACAGGGTTGCAAAGAGCTGGACATGACTGAGCATGCATGCGTGCACCTCACGCACGCACGCATGCATGCACGCATGCACACATACACACACACTCTCTCTCTCCGAGCCTCTGCCAGAGACCCTTGTAATTTGTAAATCATATGTTAATCTTTCCATGAGTTGGGATTTTTTTTTTTTCACTTTTCCTTTTAAATACAGCCACATGGAAAGAAACCTGGACTCTGCACCAAGTCTGCAAATTCACTGTTACTACAATGTAAGGCATCTGGGAAAGAATGCAGCCAACAATATAATTCCTGGAGTATTCTAATGGTAAATATTCCATAGGAACCATCAATATCTGATCCCAAAGCTTTAAAATCAAAGGTCTATAAATGTAATGAGTGTTATTCTGAAGCTTTAATCCTTTAAGTAGGTCATAAGAGGAGATGTGAACCCAAGGGCACTTGGGGATTGGAGGCTGCAGTGTCAGCGTGGGCCAGGTCTCAACAACTCATGGAGGAAAAAAAGAAAACCAAAACGATGGAACCCACCCATAGCTATGTCACCTCAATGTTTCACAGCACTGAAAAGGACCATTAAAAGAGTAACTATTCTTGCATTAGCAACTGTTTTCCTTGTAAGGAACCTATCCTCTAAGAACAAGAGGTTCTGAGACTTAGGATTTATTGCAAAAATGCTCTGAACTCTGCTGAGTTTGGCCTTTTTGAGACTTCCCTAGTGGTCCAGTGATTAGGACTCAACATCTTTTCTCCTCTTCTCCATAAATCCCAGTCTTTTCTCCCTGTAATTAAGGGAGTCAGAGAGAACGGACAGAGTGTAAGATTTAACAGAGGTGGACTGAAGCCTCAGGGTCTCTGGTAGAGAGACTGGAGCTTCAGTGCGCCGTCCAGTCTGGTGGCAAGTAACCAGTGTGGCCACCTGAGCACCTGACATGCGGCCAGGGTGACTGAGGAGCTGAGTTTTCAGTTTAATCCAGTTCATTTAAATTCAGACAGGCGTATGTGGCTAGGGGTACCTTCCTGGGCAGCAAGGTGCAGAAGGCTCTTCACATACACTGGAGTGTTTCAGTCAACTCTTCTTTAAAATGAACACATATGTCAAAATTAACAAACTAGCCAAAACTCCATGATCAACACTGTTAGATGAGACATACAAATGGATTGGTATTTTATATATATACATGTATTTTTTAAGATTTTTTAAAAAATGTAGACCATTTTTAAAGTCTTTATTGGATTTGTTACAATTTGCTTTGTTCTATGTTTTGGTTTTCTGGCTGAGAAGTATGTGAGATGTTAGCTACCTGACCAAGGGGATCTAACCCACGCCCTCTGCACTGGAAGGCAAAGTCTTAGGGATGTCCCCAGATTTATATTATAAACAAACAAAAAACAACCATGAAAATATTACCTTTTCTCCATGCTTTACAGTATGAAGAGGAAGCTGCCCAATAACTTTCTTTGTTTCTTTTCTATGGCTCTTAGGGAAGAAAAATATTATAATTATTATTGAAATGTTTAAGTTGCTATTTTAAAAATTCATATATGCGGCCAGGGTGACTGAGGAGCTGAGTTTTCAGTTTAATCCAGTTCATTTAAATTCAGACAGGCGTATGTGGCTAGGGGTACCTTCCTGGGCAGCAAGGTGCAGAAGGCTCTTCACATACACTGGAGTGTTTCAGTCAACTCTTCTTTAAAATGAACACATATGTCAAAATTAACAAACTAGCCAAAACTCCATGATCAACACTGTTAGATGAGACATACAAATGGATTGGTATTTTATATATATACATGTATTTTTTAAGATTTTTTAAAAAATGTAGACCATTTTTAAAGTCTTTATTGGATTTGTTACAATTTGCTTTGTTCTATGTTTTGGTTTTCTGGCTGAGAAGTATGTGAGATGTTAGCTACCTGACCAAGGGGATCTAACCCACGCCCTCTGCACTGGAAGGCAAAGTCTTAGGGATGTCCCCAGATTTATATTATAAACAAACAAAAAACAACCATGAATATATTACCTTTTCTCCATGCTTTACAGTATGAAGAGGAAGCTGCCCAATAACTTTCTTTGTTTCTTTTCTATGGCTCTTAGGGAAGAAAAATATTATAATTATTATTGAAATGTTTAAGTTGCTATTTTAAAAATTCATATAGTATAAGCAAGCTATGGAAAAAAAAGTCATAAAAAGCAAAAATTTGGTGACTACAATGAAATAACTTAAAAAACAACAACAACAGAACACTACCTTTTAAGCCCTAAGGTACAGAACAGTCATGTGTAACTTAAGAGCTGTTTGATCAGGAATACTTATATTCAATTCCATGCCTGAAGAAGGAACCAATCTTGTTTGATTATTGGTAAGAATGTAGTCAGCTGAGGACGGGGCTCCATACACTCATCTGTGAAGGCCCCTAAAAGGACAGAGGCTTCCTGGTCAGAGGCAGAAGGTGACCCAGCAATGACCATCTGCTGCCTCAGCAGCCAGGAAGTGTGGTTCTCAAGACAACAGGTAACTGTGGGACCCACATGCTCTGCTGCTACTGAGCCAGCACCCCCACAGACAAATGGCTCTGAATGCAGCTCCACTGTGGAGACAGGCAGGCCCAGTTCTCTTCCGAAACACACCCATGTCCCCCCACCCCCCTCGACTTCATGCCTTTTGGTCATCCCTTTATGTCTGGAAAGGAGAGAGGATCTTTGCGGAGTGAGAGATGACCTGATTTCCTACAGCACATAAAGTTGAATATATTCTAATTTAAAACTTATTTAAAAAAAAACTCCCACATATCAATACTTAAATATTATAAATGATAATGAAATTAAGAATATTGTCTAATAATTTCAAAAAATATACACAGGAAATATTTACAAACGATCTTTTAAAAAGCAAAGTTAAGAAAGACAGTTACCTGACTTCCGAACTGTGAGCCGGTGTATAGGAAGCGCTGTATGTAGTAAAATATTAGCCAGGCCAATGAGATAATCATCATGGTGATGAAGGCAATGGCTACAAAGACCACGGACTGACCGCTGATGTACTCCTGGACGTGCCGGGTGCCCACCCCGATGGTGACAGTGACTGGAATGTCCTTCTGTACAAGTTCCACAATTTCTCTTCCTTTTGGGTAGCTAACCATAATGACCACTATGTTTCCTGTTCCTTAGTAAAGAACAAAGCAATCAACACGAGAACACAAAATAAGACATGGAGACAGTATGGCTCCATGCACACGTGACTGAAAACTGTGATAAAACGGGACACAAGCCCAAGTAACCAACATGGGTGACCAAGGAGAACACAGACTGGTTACACAAGGAACAGAATAAACAGGGGCTTCTCTGGTGGCTCAGTGGTAAAGAATCTGCCTGACAATGCAAGACACTCAAGTTCGATCCCTTACCCAGGAAGATCCCACATGCCAGAGAAACTTAGCTGGATTTTTCCACAGCTAAACAAGGCTTACCCGTGACCTGAACACTAGACGCCTAGCATTTAGTAAACAGCTTTGAAAAAGTGTCCAGTCAAAAACTATCACACAATTATACACAGCAGCTCTACTTTTAACAGCTAAAAACAAAACAAAAAGAATAAATCACTAAGAAATACCCTCTTGAAAGCAAGAGCCCCCTCACCTCCCCCATTCAGTTTCATTAGAGAATTCTACTCTCAAATCTTTAAAGAGCAACATATAAAGTGTTCCACAGCAGATTTTTAAAAAAAGAAGTCTTAAAATTATTTCTAGCATAATTAAACCAAACATGGTAAAAAAAAAAGAACAACACACACACAAATACCAATTTCACTTGTAAATATTAATACAAACGCCTGAGTGTGCCCATTAACTCAGGGAAGCAATCTGAGAATTCCTACTCTGTTCGGTATTATTTCATGTTGTTCTGAATGCATGAGCAGACAGGACAAAAAAGTAAGAGAAATAAAAAAGAAGGGATATAAATGCCAATTTTACATGAATTTATCTATAAATTGGGCTTCTCTGGTGGCTCAGATGGTAAAAAAAAAAAAATCTGCCTGCAATTTGGGAGACCCAGGTTCGATCCCTGGGTCGGGAATATCCCTGGAGAAGGAATGGCAACCCATTCTAGTATTCTTGCCTGGGAAACCCCAGGGACAGGGGAGCCTAGCGGGTTATAGCTGATGAGGGTCGCAAAGAGTTGGATATGACTGAGCGACTAACACTTTCACTTTCCATCTATAAATTAATCTTTAGAATTATCAATGGGATTTTAAAAACCCTAAGAATTCTGCTTCTAATGTTCACTTAGGGGAAAAATAATCAAGATTAGGAAAACTTTGTAAACAATAAAACTTGAACTAGCCTTTATAGTCAAAATACTTAAGAGTGTGGTAGTAGCATATGACAGCCCAGAAATTAGACCCCAAAACATAAAAGAATTCGGTAAATGATAAAAGTGGATTTCAAATCAATGGGGTAAAATGGACTATGTAAAAAAAAAAAGAAAAAAAAGGTATGGGAGCAACTGAGTACCATCTAAGGATAAAAAAGATGAATCCTTTCTTCACAACTTAAAGCCAAATTCTAAAAAAATCCAAGATGTAAATATATAAAAAAGAAAAAACAGAGAAGAGCCAGAAGAAACATGGACATTAAAAAATAAATAATATTGAAGAAAAACCTTTCCAAGTGTGAAAAATAACCTCAAAACTTTTTAAAAAAAGATTTGAGCAACTGACCAATTATATAGCTTGCAGAAAACAGAAATGGGTTTTGTCTTTTAAAAGGCAATTTTAGTGAGATATAATTCACATGCTAGAAAATTCACTCTCTTAAATAAGTGTACAATTCAACGTTTTTGTTGTTCAGTTGCTAAGTCATGTCTGACTCTGCAACCCCACGGACTGCAGCACGCCAGGCCTCCCTGTCCAACACCATCTCCCAGAATTTGCTCAAACTCATGTCCATTGAGTCAGTGATGCCATCCAACCAACTAATCCCCTGTCTCGCGCCCTTCTCTTCTTGCCTTCAATCATTCCCAGCATTACAGTCTTTTCCAATGAGTTGGCTTTTCGCATCAGATGGCCAAAGTTTTGCAGCTCTAGTATCAGTCCTCCCAATGAATATTCTGGGTTGATTTCGTTTAGGATTGACTGGTTTGACCTCTTTGCAGTCCAAAGGACTCTTAAGGGTCTTTTCCAGCACAATTAGAAAGCATCAATTCTTTGGCGCTCAGGGTTCTTTACAGTCCAACTCTCACATCATATATGACTACTGAAAAAACCACAGCTTTGCCTAGACGAACCTTTGCCAGCAAAGTGATGTCTCTGCTTTTTAATACTCTGTATAGGTTTGTCATACCTTTCCTTCCAAGGAGCAAATGTCTTTCAATTTCATGGCTGTAGCTCCCATCTGCAGTGATTTTGGAGCCCAAGAAAAGAAAATCTACCACTGTTTCAACTTTATCCCCTTCTATTTGCCATGAAATGATGGGACCAGATGCCATGATATTAGTTTTCGGAATGTGAGTTTTAAGCCAGTTTTTCTCTCTCCTTTTTGACCTTTATCAAGAGGCTCTTTAGTTCCTCTTCTCTTTCTGCCATTACAGTACCATCTGCATACCTGAGGTTATTGATATTTCTTCTGGCAATCCTGAACCCAGCTTGTGATTAATCTGGCCTGACATTTTGCATGATGTACTTTGCATACAAGTTAAATAAGCAGAGTGACAATATACAGCCTTGACGTCCTCTTTTTCCAGTCCATTCTTCCTTGTCTGGTTCTAACTGTTGCTCCTTGACCTGCATACAGGTTTCTCAGGAGACAGGTATGGTGGTCTGGTACTCCCATCTCTTTCAGAATTTTCCAGTTTGTTGTGATCCACACAGTCAAAAGCTTTCGTGTGGTCCATGAAGCAGAAGCAGATGTTTTCCTGGAATTCCCAATCCCCCTGCATTGGAAGGTGAACTCTTAACCACTAGATCACCAGGGAAGTCCCTTTTCTAAGTTTTTGCTATCAAAATCTAAATGTCAATCAACAAGAAAACCATTATATAAATTATACTATGTGTACAGACTGAGGCAGCAGTTCTATTATTATTGATGGCAGTCAAGACAGAGGAGGAAAAAAAAGTATCATGTAAAAAAAACTGCGTAGACAAGAGGTCTACGTGGTCATATCAGTACAGACACCCCTGAAGATCACACAAACACAGAGCAGCACCTGCCGTGGCGGAGGTGGTGAGGGGAGAAAGCTGGACACAGTAAAAATTCTCTAACCAGTGTACATATTATCCATTCAAAAACTAACCTAAAAAATACATTTAAAGAGTGTTCTCCGGCATTACACTGAAACCACATTCTAACACTATTTTATTGTGGGGAGAAAATTTAATCCGTAGCAAATCCGCTGTGGCCCTCGACCGTGGGGATTTAGTTACTGAAACCCCAGAAGAGCAGCCTTCTGAGGTGGCTCCTGTCTAGAAGCCGATGCTGTGACCCGGCCCTAAAAGTGTCACTTGGCAAGTGCCGCGGCTGCCCGAGTGCTCGCACAAGCCTCTGCGTCATCCCTGGGGAGGCTCAATAAGAGCAAGGCATTTCCTGCCTTCAGGGAAATAAACAGCTAGTAGCTGAGAAAGACAAATACAGAAACAAGTAGGAGAACTATACCATGTACGATTACGGGGTGCCTTGTAAGCTGCAGACCCTTTTCCTAAACCAAAAAAGTTTCCTTTAATGGAAAATGTCAAGCACACACTAAAGCAGGAAGGACAGTATAGTGAACCCCATGGACCCGTCTCCATGTTTATACACAGAACAAAAACATTTCTATGCTATGGTTACAGGTACAATTCCTGTACTCATAGAACAATCTTTGGTTGCTAATGCAGAAACCAACTCTCAAGCATTTTCACGTCTGTATCATACTTCACTTGAGGCAGAAAGAGGCGAGTGATCATTTTACAGACCAGGGCTGAGACATCTTAAAGAGAATTGCTCAATGTGACGCAGCACCTGGAAGAGCCAGTTCCAGGGCCTGAAGACCCAGTTCCTGAGTGCACCTCTGCCTTTCCCCCTTGTGAGTGGGGGGTGAGGGAGGGAGTGGGGAAACACAGGCTTCAGGACCACCAGGCTGGGCTCCAACCTTCCCCTGACAATTCATGTCTGGGTCCTCTGAGAGTATTTCTTCAGCTGTACAATGGAAATTCTTCTATTTTGGACTGTTGATTATTGAATGATAATGTGGAATAAGGAAAAGCTGCAGAAATGAGGTGATCATATTTACTGGGATGGGAAGGAACTTTCCCCTGGGCAGGGAGTGCATCTTGATGGACAGGAAGAGTTTATCAGGCAAAAAGAAGGGAGGTTTTCTAGGCGGTGTACCATCATAAAAGCATATTTGCATTGGTGACTGGTCTGGCTTGCTTAGTGACTCAATATACATAAACGTATCCTGTTTATCTCATTACTGCCAGTGCCCCATGCAGCTTGGCACATAGTAAGTGTTCAATGAATATTTGTTACCTAAATGAGTGAGGGATGGCGGATGAGCTGAGAACACCTGAAGCTTCAAGGGAGGGGCTGCAGAAACGCTCTGGCTATCAGAAGCACACCTGACCATCTCCAGCACTAATCTCAAGTTTTTCCCCTAAAAAATGCTTAGTTCACTAAGTTGTAAGAAATCATTAAGAAGTAATAACACTGTGCCTGGGCTGAGGGCTAAAATTTGCTACACTCTAAGTACAGAGGGTGCCTTGGACAGCAAGGAGATCAAACCAATCAAACCTAAAGGAAATCAACCCTGAATATTCATTGGAAGGACTGATGCTGAAGCTGAAGCTCCAATACTTTGGCCGCCTGATGCGAAGAGCCGGCTCACAGGAAAAAGACCCTGATGCTGGGAAAGATTGAGGGCAGGAGCACAAGGGGGTGATTGAGAATGAGATGGATAGATGGCATCACCGACTCAACGGACATAAATTTGTGAAAACTCTGGGAGATAGTGGAGGACAAAGAAGCTTGGCATGTTGCAGTCCATGGGGTGGCAAAGAGTCAGACATGATTTAGCCACTGAAGCAGCAAGACTGCCTCTGTGAACTACTCTAGTTTTAAAATATTTACTTAACATTTATTTATTTGGCTGCACCGAGTCTTCACTGCAGCATGTGGGATCTAGTTCCCTGAC